CATTCCAGTTCTGAATATTTGCTGAGCATATAGTCAATTGCGCTGTGCTTTGAAGTAGATTGTATAACATAGGTAGAAGTCCACAGGGTACTGGAGTAAAACTCACAAAACTCTATTTTGATTTATCATCTTTTTAGGATTTTAGTTTTTCATTTAATAATACCTATTTCCCCTGGTGAGGAGCTGCATTAACCCAAAGCAAAACTCAGTTTTCTCTGGAGTACTACAAAGATCTTACCAAATGACTGAGAACCTTTATACTTTATACTTTTATACTAATATATAACTATTTTCCCATCATAATATCCATTGAAATTTATGGAATACATAGCTGTGATACATCACACCCTAATTTCCTGTGTATGCTAAATATCAATATACTAGGTTCAAATGTAGTTTCTTTGGAACTGCTGTAGATTGCTCAGAGGAAACACATTTCATGTGCTTTTCAATGAGACTTGACTCTTGTTCTTCTGTTGTTTCTTCTATTCTGCAGTAATTGCCATCTAAACTCTAAGTATGTATTAGCTCTTGCCCATGGAAAAATAAACCAAAGATAAAGCATTTGAAGTTAGTAAAATCAATATGAAGAAACAGCATGTGAGAGAATACTGTTTTTGCTTGTCTTTTTTATGGTATGTGTATAGTTGGAGACTTGTTTCAGTAGGAAACACTGTTAAACTCCCAAATCCCAAATTTGCATAACATTGCCCAAGGCAAAAATTACCACCAGTGATGGAAAATCTTAGATAAATATAAAATGATTTCAGTGTTACTCAGGTGACTGAAGGGACATTGGCAAGGTTTTTAAAACAAAAACTAATCCTGTTTTTTGATTGTGGCAGACAAACGTGCTCATGCTACTTCTCTAGTTAACTGTGTCTGCGAGTAGCAGGATATTGACCTTTACTGGAATCCTGCAGTGTTTGCCATACTTCAAAGTAACAGTGAAAAATCTGCAACAGAAGAGATTAATTTGTTCTTTAGGTAAATTAGAGAGATGGACAGATAGGGCTAATAAACTGATTTGCTTTTTAAATTTCCAACTTATTATTGGATTAACTAGAGAGCTAAGTCCTATCAGTTAAAATGATCTCTTCCAATTATTACTGGAACTGTAGTTTTATGCAAAGATCCCACAATGTGTCAGGCTCATTCTCTTGCTGCTATCAAGAATTTACACTTAAAGTGTATAGTTTTATGGCTTTTTATGTAGGAAGAACTAAAGCCAGAGACACTTAACACCTAATTTAGTTATCTGTTAGTTGCATGTCCTTGTCTGCTATATGCAATCTATGAAGAGCATTTCAGCAAAGCTTCATGATCTTTTTTCCTATTGGAATTTCTTCATTTTTTTCATGTAATGCAGGGGAATGTAAGTACTGAGATGAAATTATGAAGGAGAAAATGTTGGTAGAGCTTTAGTAGAGTGAAGTCACCCAAGCCATTTTGAACTACATTGCAAAGGAGGAAGAGAATTCAGGGAACAACCTGTATTACCTGGGAAGATAAACGAGGTGACCTACTGGGTCTTTTACATTTTCTTGACTGTGTAATGGCAGGGCCTATCTCTCTCCATGCTAAAGTGTCCTGTTCCTCCAACTCCTGTTGACTTTGCAGAAGAACTGCATTTGCAGGTAGACACAGAGGCATCCCATGATGTGCCCAGCCAGTGACAGGGCAAAGGAAATGAACACCTCCAGTGTCTGCAGAGTCTTGGGGAAAGGTCCCTTGAACAGACAGGTAGGCTGAGAACTACTAAGAAGAGATCCACATCAAACCTCTTTTCTTAGTGCCTTTCCTTGCAAAGGATCCCCCAGCACTCCTATACCCTGAGCAGGACTGGGACACACACCCTTGTGCTGGGGTGGGGAGAACACCAGTACAATCCATGGCTGAGAGTTAGCCACAGATTGGGGGGCTAGAGATGGCAAAAAAAAGTGGATACCCAGGCCTTCAGTGCCCACACAGGGTTTAATATGGTGAGGGGCTGGCTGTCTCCCCTCAAAGGCCCCAGCCTTTCTCCAGTAAATCCCATGACCTTTACAGGAGCTGGCTGGGGGGGGTCTGTGGCTGGGAAGGAGGAAGTGGGTGGCCAAAGCTCTCCAGGCTGAGGGGTTTCAAGCAGGGAGGGTGGCAGGAGTCTGAGCTGGGGCAGGGAGCTGGTGGCCTGGCAAGCAATTCACCTCAGCTCCGCCCCAGCCAGCCCCTTCCCTCTGCCCTTAGCCCGGACTTTTCCCCGCTCCGGGGCGCCCTGTCCCTCCGCTCCCAGCCCAGCCTGAGGGGATCTTGAGGGGCAGCGAGAGGCCGAGCAGCCGTCGGGGCGGGCAGCTCCCGCTCGCAGCGCAGCCCCAAGCGGCCGCT